CACATTTGCGAATGTAGTTCTGAAAGCGTTACTAACCAAGAACTCTTTAATACTGTAAAAGACTTCTTTTCAGTTGAAAGCCTCGGAGTTCAAAATATTAAACCGTCTGTTTCCAAAGAATTAGATAGGGCTATTCGTATACAAGAAAGCACCCTAGTTCAAATTGGTAACCAATATAAAATTGGATTACTCTGGAATTATGACAACTTGAAACTCCCTAATAGTAAACCCATGGCTATTCAAAGACTGGAGTGTATAGAGAGAAAAATTAAGAAAAATCCAAAACTAGGTATCAAAATTAATCAACAAATTCAAGATTTTCTAGAAAAGGAATATATTAGAAAACTGTCAGAACAAGACCTCTTAAAGCATCAAGAAAAAACATGGTATCTTCCCATATTTCCGGCCTGTAATCCTAACAAACCTGACAAATTCAGATTAGTTTGGGATGCAGCAGCAACCGTACAGGGAATATCCTTAAATTCTATGTTATTAAAAGGAGGTGACCAACTTGCTTCTCTATTAGGCGTCCTCCTACGATTTCGTGAAAGAAAGATTGGCTTTTCTGGGGACATCAAGGAAATGTTTCTTCGTGTAGGTATAATAGAAGATCAACATGCACAACGATTCTTGTGGCGCAATGGTAGCTCTGATAATCATTTGGAAGTTTACGTCATGACTGTGATGACCTTCGGAGCTACCTGCTCACCCAGTTGTGCACAATTTGTTAAAAACGCTAATGCGAAGAAATTTAGTGTAGAATATCCTAGCGCTGTTGATTCCATAGTAAATAATCATTATATCGATGATTTTTTAGAATCAACAGATACTGAGGATGAAGCTATCTAGAGGAAGTCAACCTAGATCTAGGGAACAATAAGAGCATGGAGAAGGTTCTAGGAATGTAGTGGGATTTAAAGGGGGAAAATTTTATTTTCAATTAATGTAATAAAGGAAACAAAGACGTTTTAGGTAGATTAAGAAAGCCAACAAAGCGAGAAATTTTACAAATCTTAATATCTATATATGACCCTTTAGGTTTGTTAGCAAACCTTTTGATTTATGTGAAGATCCTTTTACATTAAATATGGAGGAGTAACATTTCTTGGGATCAACCAATAACCAATGAACAGTTTCAAAAATGGCTTGTTTGGTTAAAACAGCTTCCAGAAATAGAGAAGGTTTCAATTCCAAGGTACTTTTTTAATAAACTCGAAAACTGGAAGGATACCAATACGCAAATGTACATATTTGTAGATGCCATCGAACACGCAAGTGCTTGTGTGGCATATCTAAGAATAATGAAAAAAGATGTCACAGAGTGTACTTTGATTGGAGCGAAAACACATGTAGCACCATTAAAACCACAAACTATTCCTCGACTGGAACTTAATGGTGCAGTAATGGGTTCAAGGTTTGCTAAAAACCTTTGTCAACATCTTTCCATACCTGTGCACAACATTGTTTATTGGACAGATTATTCAACAGTTTTAAGCTGGTTAAGAAATGAAGACCCAAGAAAATTACCAAAATATGTAGCTTACAGAGCAGCCGAAATTCAACAAAACTCAATAGTATCACATTGGAGATATGTACCTACTAAGAATAACATAGCCGACGAAGCTACCAAATGGACAAAAAGTCCCAATTTGAAAAACACTAGATGTTGGTTTAAAGGTCCTGATTTTCTGAATCAATTAAAAAACAGTTGGCCTCCAGACACCGACCTTAAAAAGGAAAAAACTGATGAAATCTTAACCACTCATGAAGTAAAATTTAATAGTCCACTTTTAATATATTTTAAAAGATTTAGTCAATTTAATAGAATTTTAAGAGCAACTGCGTATGTGTTTCGATTTTTAAGAATTATTTATGCAAAACTGATGAAATCTGAAGAGCGTAAAGGAATATTAACTGCAGAAGAACTTTTAGATGCTAGGAATATGTTAATAAAGCAAACTGAATGTGAATATTTAAAAAATGAAATAAAACAATTAAAAACAAATAATTCTGGTAGTTTACAGAAAACAGTTAATAAATCAAGTAGTTTATTTAAATTATCGCCATATCTGGATGAAGATGGTTTACTTCGTATAAGAGGAAGATTAGATGAATATAGAGATATTACTTCAGAAACAAAAAGGCCAACAATTTTACCGAGAGAAAGTCGTTTAACTTTGCTAGTTGTTGAAGACTATCACAAAAGATATCACCATAGAAATCATGAAATTGTAGTAAATGAGATAAGACAAAAATTTTATATACCAAAACTTAGACAACTAGTTAATAAGATTAGGACCAATTGTCAAAAGTGCCAGGTCAAATTTGCTAAGCCAAAACCACCAGAAATGTCACCTCTACCGCCATGTAGACTTGCAACATTTACTGCTCCGTTTACACACACTGATATAGATTATTTTGGTCCAATAAACGTTACTGTTGGAAGACGGACAGAAAAGATGGGAAGCTTTATTTACGTGTCTCACGACTAGAGCAGTCCATCTCGAAGTAGTTTACAAACTAGATGTGGACAGTTTTATACTATGCTTGACAAATTTTATTAACAGAAGAGGACGACCAAGGCATATTTATTGTGATCGAGGTACGAATTTTATTGCAGCTGAACGAGTATTGAGAGAAGAACTGCAAATGGTTGACAGTAAATTAATAGCCAATTCACTGATTAGCCCTGGAGCTCCTAGTGAAAGCGGTTAAAATTTAGTTATATGATTCATTACCAACAAAGTATTTAAATTTAATTTTTTATACAGAGAGCAATTTGCAACAAATGTTGGCGACGCTTTATTTCTGAATACATACCTGAACTACTACTTAGGGCAAAATGGCATAAACAAGTTGTACCAATTAGAGAGGGCGATATTGTAATTATATGTAATAAAGATTTACCAAGACGCAATTGGCCAAAGGGTAAGGTAATTGAAGTTAAAGAATCACCTGATGGGCAAATGCGACGAGCAATAGTTCAAACAAAAAGTGGAATATATGAACGTCCTGTTACAAAATTAGCGGTAATACCAATAAATGGAGACCAAAAAGATGATGAAAAATAAGTGGTACAGTCTCTTTTTCGCATCGAACTGTACCGGGTGGGAGTGTTACGAATATTTATTATTTGTATAAAATGTATTTACTTAATTTTTAGTCCTATCATGTTACCCAAAATTTCCCGTTGCTACTGTTCCATAAACTATGTCAAATATAATATCAAAACGTCAGAAAACAAACTGTCACCGATTAGGGAAAAATTTGAAAGAGAACAGAATTTGAGTTGTTTTTACGCAAATAAAAACAGTAAACTACAAATCCGTCAATCGCTGGCTGTTCAATAAAGATAAATTCCCAACAACAGTTTAATCACAAACTTCGTTTTTATACTATGATCAGAATGCCCCCTTTGAAGTTTGTCAGCACGCAATCGCCATATTTTAAACGGAAACATAGACTCGAATTGAGAAATTTGTGACAAGCTACGACAGAAATGTAATTTAAACAGTACACAATATACGAAAATGAAAAAAAATCCTGTTTTATCTTCTCCAGAAAAGAGCAGACCTCGTTTAAAAACGAAAACTACTGATTTATCTGAGGGCAATAAAATGGCAATTCGTAATACAATATATATGTTCCAGGATCGTACATAAACCAACATTTTGTTGAGAATTAGGAGAGTAGGAGGTAACATGTTATAGTAATATATTAAAATAAATCACTTTTTAGGGAAACATGTAACCCGTGAAGCGTTGATCAATGAGCAGCAGGCTTAACAAATTGATTCTACAAATAAAACATCCTTGAGTACAATATTAAAAGATTTGAACTTTACTTTCGGTAAACTCAACCGAACTTTACATTTAAACAAGATGATCATCGAAGAGCTTTAATTGAAAAAACTTATATCGCAGCACAACGAGCGTGTTTCTTGCGTAAATACATGGAAAGCAGAAATAGTACATATCCACGAGAAGTTGTATTTTTAGACGAAAGTTGGATTTTTCTAGCGGAAATAAAATAATGTGGCAACAGCAGAAGTCTTCATAAACTAGATGGTTATGATGGAAAAACATTAATTGTGGTTCATGCCGGTTCAGCAAAAGATGTTTTTCAGACGCCAGTTTGTTATTTCGTTCGAATGCAATCAACTGAAATCGAATTGAATGGAATCACGAATTAAATCGAATTGTATCGAAACCAGAGATAGATCGAAAGGGATGGAATCAATAATATCGAATCGAGTGGAGTCGAATTGAGTATAATGGAATTGAATCAAATGAATTCGAACTGAAACCAATAGAATTGCATTAAATCAAATCGAATTGAATAGAATGCAATCTAATATAATCGAATGAAATCGAATTGAAACAAATTCGCTAAAGTAGCGTAGACTTTAGACAAGGAAAGAGAGAGGACAGGTAGAATAACACCCATTTAATAAACCTTCGAAAAGTGAAGCCAGTTTCGATGTGACCGCCATGTTTTGGTGCCTGTACGTTGCCCATTACTACCTTTCGCAGTGTTACGAGGTCTACTGATTTTTCAGTAGATCTAATGAATTCAACTTCCAATTTACTGATTTACTGAAACACTATATCGATCTACTGAAAAATATGTAATGATAAAATCACGTTCAAAAAGTGTTCATTTCAGTGTCCAATTATAAATATTGAAAAAATCTATTTATTAATATATATCCATTCTTCTCAATCTACTGAAGAAATAAAATATGACCTGGCAACCTTTCTGGTGCCGGTTTGGCTTCAGTCAATTCCATACGATTACGCGTACCCCTCTTTCCTTGTCTAAGGCGTAGACGATAAGAAAGCTATGCTTCCCCTCCTCGGTCACTCCCGGAGTACCACATCTCTTTTTATTATTTTTATTGATATTGACATGATGATGATTTTTATTGATATGATGAGTGGCTAAAAAGGGAATAGTAAAATTACAAACTCGTGTAAATATTACTTTACTAAACAATATCTGCAGTTTTATAAATAACTTAAATATATATAAATACAATAAGCAGTCTTCATAGTACCTTCATTAGTACTATTTTATTATCACACGTGTTTTTTGGCATGGGACATCATCGTAGACCTCGAAACAAAACCTTTTCCGCACGTTTCACACATATAAGGTCTTTCTCCAGTATGCAGTCGCTTGTGGATCACCATGGGAGTGAATTGTGTGAAGGTTTGACCGCATAAGTCACAGCTGAAACAAAACACATGGTTAAAGTATGTTTACAAATTAGATAAGGGTTTTAATACTGAGTCAACTTGGACTGTTTATGTCAACGTAGGACAGTGTACTAACCGGCTTCAAAAGTGTTTTGAGTTGAACTATGTATATACGTAGAAATAAAGAAGGCATTTAAAAGCTTCTAAGTACTAGACAATATTGAGTCGAGTTATAGAAAGTTTAAGATAGATCCACTTAATACCAGAATAACGAAACGCTCATTTATACAAACGAGAATGTAAATATTTAAAAAACTCGAGGAATGTTTTTTTAAATCCTTAACCAGGTAGGTGAAGAAAGTAAAGTTTGTTTTACTTTCTTTTTTTTTGTGAAATAAAAAAATATTTTTGTATAATATAAAAATAACTTATAAATGCCTTTAAGATCCTATATGTTGATCAAGTATAACTGAAATATAAATATAACTGAAGTAAGACGTCTTTTTTCTTTCTACATGTAATTCGACAGGTTACATCAAAATAAGGGATCTGTAAAGTGCAGTAATAAAGGAAGCACAACTGCACATGCGTATATGTTAAAATAAAGATGCTTTTATTAAAGGATGACACAAAATACGTCTTCAATAACTCTCTATTTATTTTGTTAATCATGGTTTCCTTTTCATGGTCATAGTATGGCGCCATCTATTAGTTATATTGCGATTTAAAATAACAGAAAATCAGCCTTTCCGTACAATTTTTTGAAAATTATCTTTTAAACAAACCTTCTCTTGATAATAACAAACCATCGAGTTACTTCGGCCATATTGGTATTATTGTTTTGAAACTTTTAACAGATCGTATATGTTTGGTTATATTTGTTGTTTTTCGAATATTTTCAGTTTTATAATAATTTTATAGAAACTGTAATAAATTGTGATAGTGCATAATAATGGTTTCTTGTTCTCAACGTACTTGTAGTAGCAGAAGTAATGTTAATAAAAAATCTTCAGGAATATCGTTCCACAGGTTAGTATACAAATATGTAAACAAAGTAATGGCCCGTACTTCAGAGAATAAATTAATACTATTTGACTGTATTAATTTATCTTTATATATAATATATCGTGTTTTTAGTGTTTACCGCGGGATAAATAAATCATAGTTTATTAAAAAGTATTGCACTTTTTTAGATTATGATTAAATCTTCTGAATAACTAGTCATATTTGTATAGTAGTTTTATTATTATTGAGTCTGGCCCTGATGTCACCGCCATATTGGTATTATGGTTAGCCACTCCTACCTATGCCGTTTTTAATACATACCTTAATATGCTCATAGCTTCTCCATAGATTCTAACTTGATGTAACAAACACAACAAAAAAGAATTATATAATTTGGTGCAGTCGTTATGGAGTGATGCCTGTACAAACATTATGGCGATTCATTTTTATTAATATAGATAAAATTAACGTCCCTATAAATATTAAGATATAACTGTAAGGAACGAGCAAACAGCAGCATTACGAGCTTTTTCAAATTTTTCTCAATAACAAATAGACATTTTGCGATCAAAAGCAGCAGAAAAGATTATCAGCAGCTGGAGTTTAGAGTATTTTATTTATGTTTTGATTTAATTATAGAAAACATTAGAGAAGAGAAGGGAGCTAGCGTGCAACGCCACTGGTTTGGCAAGAATGACGAGTGTCGGATTATTTTGACCGTTTTGAAGTTAGTTATACTGTTATTACGTTGATTGAAGCAAAGTTTGCATTTTAGAAGAAAGTGTATTTTTAATTATATGTATATAATATGTACACTATTAACACTACCTGTCGACTATTGCGCAATTACTTTATAAAACTCACAACTGACACTCGAGATCCCTGCCAAACCGAGATACTTCGCGTTTCTAACAACTGGCAACCCTAATTTGAGATCATTTTTCTCAGACAACCATATACGTCATAAGTGTATTTTATTTAAAAAATAAATAAACGAAATTTTAGTTCAAAAATTAATTACCTATTTTTAAATGTATGTAAAAATGTGAGTTTGATTAACTATGTTACGAACGTAGTGATTTTGCAGTAGGATCTTAAGTCTGTTTTAGACTATAACATAAAATGATATAAGAAAATGGTATAACAAGAACTTACATGAAATGATTGTGTACAATACTAATATAAGAAGTTTTGTGTATTACATTGTCACATTTTGGTATCAAAATATGTTATGTGATTCTGCGCATTACATGCTAAAACAGTCCTTTTTTAAAATTATTATAGGTTTGTTCCAACACGCAATTTTTGTACGGTCCGGAAACCGTTCCGAAACTACTTGTACAATTTTTAATGCGCATGTTCATCATTTGTATCGTCTGATGACGGTAATTTGGAAACATATGTTGGAACGATTTGCTGACAACTTACATAATTTTTTGATAATCTACCTAAATAATTCTGGTTTTTCACCCGGCTAATAGCTCCACTACTATAATAATCAGAAAAATCACTAATTCCTTCGTCGTCAGTCATATTTATAAAGTTATAAATAACGAAAAACAAATATATAAATAAATAACAAGTCTATCATAAGCATTTGATAAAATCATTCACCTAACTGCTTCTTTTTTTCTGAACAAATTTACAGTTTTAATATAAAATCTAAGTTAATCTAGGCCCAACAAATTTAACCCGGCAACTGTGTTGTGGGGTGAAAATAACCCACGTCGTTCATTACCGCTTGTTAAAATAGTGGCAACATCGCCAGATTCGTCTGGCGCCACGAGTACCTTCCCATAATATAACAGACCTTGTATTGCATCATAAATTTCAGTATATAAATAAGATTTGAATGAGTGGTGTCGCCTTCTTTGGACTTGTGGGTGATTTTAACCCCACCACACAGTTGAAGTGCAGTATTATTTAGTTTTTGGGTAATTTTAACCCCACAACACCGGTTAATTATTAACAGGTAAGTTCTTATACTAGCACAACTTATCTCGATTTTTTTAACAGAAACATAATTTAATTGTTAGGAATATTGAAAATTGATTAGATATTCTTAATTTCAGACATATCGAAATATGTGTAGTTGGGAGAAAGAACAAGAAGCTCTCTTGAAGCTTTGGCAGGATGAATTAACTGGATCAGAGTTAGGATCAGAAAGCGAATCTGAAAATGAAAGTCAGCAGGTTAGCCTTAGTTCCAGTGAGGATGTTTTACAAAACCAACTTCAATCAGTGGAAAATTGTCAGCCTGGAACTTCTAATCAGGAAAGTCAATCATCGTCGGAAGAATCTTCTCAAGACAACAATAAGTTTGAAGATGATAAAGTAAGACAATCTAAGTTTTTTATCGGACGGGATGGGAAAACAAAATGGTCAAAGAACTGTCCTAATAAATCGGTTAGAACACGACAAGAAAATTTAATTACTTTACTTCCCGGTGTTCGAAATAATGCAAAACATTGCAAATCACCCATTTCTTGCTGGGAATTATTCATGGATAATATTATTGTAGAAGATATTGTCCAATGCACTAATAAAAAAATCAGTTTAGTCGCTCAGAATTATAATGACCAACATAAATATATCACCAAGCCTACGGACGCAGAAGAAATTCGTGCAGTTTTCGGATTACTATATCTATCAGGCGTTTATAAAGCCAATAGGTTAAATCTGGAGGATCTTTGGGCTACAGATGGAACAGGAATTGACATTTTCAGGCTAACAATGTCCCTGCAAAGATTTATATTACTTTTAAAGTGCCTACGATTCGATAATATCGAAAATAGAGACGAACGAAAAAGAGTAGATAAACTGGCAGCTATACGAGCTGTTTTTGATCGATTTGTATCCAATTGTCAACAATATTTTATTCCTAGTCAATACTTGACGATCGACGAAAAATTAGAATCTTTTCGGGGACGTTGTTCCTTTCGGCAATATATCCCCAATAAGCCGTCCAAATATGGCATTAAAATATTTGCCTTAGTGGATGCCAAAACATTCTACATTTTAAATTTAGAGGTATATGTTGGCTCACAGCCTGAGGGACCTTTTCAATTTAGTAATAGACCGTTTGATGTAGTAAACAGGCTTGTAAATCCAATTCGTGGTACTAATCGCAACATTACATTCGACAACTGGTTTACCAGCATACCGCTAATGGAACATTTGCTTAGTGAACATCGGTTAACATCTGTTGGAACTATTCGTAAAAACAAGAGGGAAATACCGACAATCTTTTTGAATTCCAAAAACAGAGCTGAAAACCACGCAATTTTCGGATTTAAAAAAGACATTTCTTTGGTGTCCTTTGTCCCGAAGAAAAATAAAATAGTGTTAGTAGCTTCTTCACTTCATCATGATACAGAATTTGACCACAAATTAAATAAACCTGAGATTATAGACTTTTATAATCACACAAAAGGTGGAGTGGATATGGTTGACGAAATGTCTGCGTTATATAATGTGTCTCGTAATAGCAAGCGATGGCCACTAACAATTTTTTTTTCGCTGCTTAATAATGCAGGAATAAATAGTTATGTTATTTATCAACATAACAAGCCAAATGAAAAACTAAAACGCAGATTTTTTTTAAAACAACTTGGTTTGGCACTAATTAAACCATATATTGAAAAAAGAGGTAATAATCAAAGAATACCATCAGACATAAGAGCGAAACTAAAAAGAAATGACAGCGGAGAGGACTCTCAAGGACCTTCAAACAAGAAACAACGAACAACATCCAGATGTGGAGTGTGTCCCCGTGGAAAGGACAGAAAGTGCCAAAAGAAATGTGTAAAATGTGACATTTTTCTTTGTCTTGAACATTGTGTATATTTTTGTTCTAAATGTGCAAATAATTGTTAATTATGCTTTTTAAACAAAAGATCATAGTTACTTTTTATAGAATTTGTAGTTTTTTTTTATTCTATATCTCTAATAAAAATTTTATTAACAAAAATTGTGGTAGTGGTTTAAATATCAACTAAATTTTAGTATATTTTTTGAATCGTTGAATTATTAACGAAAATTTTTAAAATGATTTAACTTTGAAAAAGATTATATAACAATATAACCATGATTTAAAATCTTAAGGTTGCATGTAAAAATAAAATATTTTCTTAATTTTATAAATAAAAAAAAAAATGGGGTGATAATTACCCCAACACACAGCTCCTGTTAGAAAATTTCACCACACAGTCGCCGGGTTATAGGAGAATAAAATCCTAGTGCGCAAGTCATCCCAACCAGTACATGCATTTGCCAGATTACTGAAATTATCGTCACGAAACCGTCACTGGGCGAGCACAATTTTTGTTGGAACGGTCGGAAGGACGATGAGATAAACGATCATAATTTTGTTGGAACGTATTTTGTTTACTGCGCAGGAGCGTAACCGTTACGTGACGGTTTTTCGTTGTGTTGGAACAAACCTTATGTTGTTGTACATGTACTGTTAACCTCAATGTTCTTATTCTTCTTTTTGTTATTGTAACGTAACCTCATTTTCTACAATATTTAATCTAGTTTTATAGTTTTTTACCCACATAAATACCTAGTTAGTTTTACCCTCGTTGTACTTTTGCTGTAACAAAGATATACTTCATCTAATTTAGATAACGACTTACGTCATTATCGACGTCAGAGATCGAAGTTGACATAGTTGCCAAAGTATAAAAAAATCCTGACTCCATTTTAAATCAAATAGATTACATAATTATTGCAAAAGCATTACCATCTCTTTACAACGACTATTTAAATTCTTACGTGACATTTTTGAAATAAAACACACTAATTTTGTTCTAAAAAGAACAGATTTTATTAGATACTTAAAAATATAAAACAAGAGATATTCACTTTAAAATTCAAAATAATGAAGTACAAAAAGTGTCAACACCGCAACTGTCAAATAAGTGTTACCAATTTATGCCAAAATTTTACCTTCGTTCGATTACAGTTTCAGTGTGTTCCGAACAAATGTTCTTGATAACAACGCTTTATAATGCATTTATACAAATTAAATGAAACATATTATTGTGTATTTCTTCAAGTTAACATTAATAGAAATTTTAAAATATGATTTCTACGCGGATATAATAAAATATGTCTAGTGGCTGTAATGTCAGTGTACTCGGTAAAGTGATTATAAAAAAGAACACACCTGCACCCTAAATATTTTGTGTTGGTATCATGTGACGTCACAGGCTATGACGCCGATGACGTGCATCGTTATATAAATTAGATGAAGTTGTATATATTTATGATGGATAAGAAAATTCTCCTATTATCTGCTGCTTCCATTACGACATTTCTTTTAATTCAGACAAGCAAGAAAAAAGGACAACGAAATATGTGGCCTAGAGCTTGGCTTCAAAAAAGACAGGAAGGTCGTGTTGTTTTAAGTATGTTGTAAACTGAATTAAAAGACAATGATTCTGAAAAATATAGACAATTTTTAAGAATGTGTAAGCCACAATTTAATGAACTTCTTGAACTGATTCGAGAAGATATTACCAAAGAGGATACAAAATTGTAACTGCGCATGCGTGCATACTAATAATTGGTAACAGAAAACAGATTTTGTTTTCTGTTTTACATTATGACAAAACTTAGTATACCATTTTCTTCATTTTATGTTATAGTCTAAAACAGACTTTAGACATCTTCAATAAATTCTATGGGTTTCACAATACAGTGAACCCGCTTTATTTATCTGCTGACATTTTTTTTCTATTATCTAGGATCCCAGTCAAGACGACCACATCAGTGTTGCTGTATACTTACATATACTTCATATAATTTACTTACCGTTGCACGTCATCCGTGCCATAGTCCGTGAGGTCACATGATAGCAACACGAAATATTTAGGCGGTAGGTGTGTTCTTTTTTAGAATCACTTTGCCGAATACACTGGCATTACAGCCACTAGACATATTTTATTATATACGCGTAGAAATAATATTTAAAGATTTCTATTAATGTTATCTTAAAGAAATATACAATAGTATGTTTCATTTAATTTGTATAAATGCATTATAAAGCGTCTTATGAAGAACATTTGTTCGGAACACACTGTAACTGTAATCGAACGAAGGTGATAATTTGGCATAAATTGGTAATACTTATTTGACAGTTGCGGTGTTGACGCTTTTGTACTTTATTATTTTGAATTTTAAAGTGAATATTTCTTGTTTTATATTTTTAGCTTTTTAATAAAATCTGTTCTTTTTAGAACAAAATTAGTGTGTTGTATTTCAAAAATGTCACGTAAGAATTTAAATAGTCGTAAAGAGATGGTAATACTTTTGCAATAATTATGTGACCTATTTGATTTAAAATGGAGTCAGGATTTTTTTATACTTTGGCAACTATGCCAACTTCGATCTCTGTCAATGATAATGACGTGCAACGGTAAGTACATTAGATGAAGTATACATAAAATAGTAAGCTATGAATGAACAAAAAATTAGCGCACTGTATCTGTTTTAATTGTGTAAACAGATTGCATCAATGAATGTACCTGGGCGTAACACTAGACAGAACGCTATCATTTAAAGAGCATTTAACAAAAACTGCCCAAAAGTTGAGTACAAGAAATAACATTATACAGAAGCTCTGCGGTACCACCTGGGGAGCATCGGCTTTAGCCCTTGTTTTCTCGACCGCTGAATATTGTGCTCCAGTTTGGCTACACAGTCCACACGTAAAAAAGGTCGACACTCAGCTGCACAGCACTATAAGGATGATAGCTGGTACAATTAAATCAACTCCCACCCAATGGCTTCCAGTATTAAGTCACATTCCACCTCCACATTTACGACGAGTTGACGCACTTACACGTGAATACAAAAAGATCATGAACAATATAAACCTGCCGATCCACCAAGATACCGAGGATGCACGAAATACCCGTCTACGTTCTAGAAAACCGCCAATGAAAACGCCAAGAATGATACATGAGGAGTTCAACATCACGAATGCATGGTCCCAAGAATGGAATGCATTTCAAAATAACATGCCCTGTATTACCCACAAGCCACCAGGTTTTGATCTTCCACGTAAAACATGGTTCACTCTAAACAGGATCCGAACCAGACATGGCAGATGTGCATACATGCTACATAAATGGGGAAAGAATCCGTCTCCTCAATGTGACTGTGGGAAGAACCAAACGATCGACCACATTATTGAAGAGTGCCCCTCAAGATCCTACAACGGTAGCCCCGAAAACTTCATGTTTGCAACTTCAGAGTCAATTGATTATGTTAATACACTTGATGTTTGTTTGTAATTATTTAAAGTTTGTCATATACCTATATTACTAGTGTTTGTAATTTTGTTCTAAACGTGTTGTAATTGCCATACGATAAATAAATAAATCAATGAATGTATGACTATTATGAAGGTGTCGCTAATATTAACAATAAATGAATATACTAAAAAATATTACCTATAGGGCCTTTCACCAGTGTGAGACCGCCTATGACAACGTAATGCATCTCTCCTTGCAAACGCTTTTCCACACATTTCACATACGTATGATTTCTCTCCCGAATGCATCGTAAAATGAATTTTTAAATCCACTCCTGTAAGGAATCCCTTCCCGCATACCTCGCACATGAATGGTTTTTCACCAGTATGAATACGCTGATGAGTCTGCAAATAACTCTTGGAGACGAACATTTTGTCGCAGACATGACAGGAGTATTTGCGGTTGTCCTGACCGGAATGTATTTTTCTGTGTGCTCGACAAAGACCTGAATAAAAAATACAAGGGAAATAAAAGTTAATATTTATTAATTTAAATTTATAATTAATGCTTTATGGTGTGTTATTATGTTTAAACTCAATACAGTTCATCAATGACAATTCGATTGTTAACTGTCTCAATGATATACTAATGATCCTATTAAATTTATTAAACTTAATTAATATATTCGTCAATAACCGCGTAAGTGACGGAGAAAGGATAACATAGTTATAGTCAATTCATAAAATATAAACAAATAAGTTTAAATAATAATAAAAATGCTAGCTAATCTCAATTTTAATAAACTAATTTAATTAAAATTCATATACAGTTCAACATGGGATCTTTGACCTGGTTTACTTTAAAAAAAAATGTAAAATCAACGTTGTTCCGAATATCATATTATATCATTTTGAATAGGGACTGATGGTCCCTGTAGGTAATCTAAGTCCATCGGCACATAGTCAGATAATATAATAAACCCAACCACTGTTTGGTTTTGGGGTTATTTTGCTGGTACTAGCCATGTCTTCTTATCGTCTCTCGATTCAGTTTACACGAGTTAACTCCCTCCATATTATATGCTTATACACTGTATACATACCATTTAGTTAATTGTATTTTAGCTACAAAGAACCTTTTTCATTTTTATAAAGTTCACACATACTTTTTCAATTCTGACTTTTATTTAAGCAGTTGCTATTTTATATCAGTTTTTAGTGTTCCTATTCATGTACTTCGTTACTATTTAGATCTGCTAGCCTCCTATCCTTACTAGAGTTTCGTTATTACTGTATTGTTGTTTTTACTAATTTTCATGAATTCGGCATCGGAAGATCCAAACAAAATATGTGGTGTGATTCAATCAATGAGACACCTACTGCAGTGTCGTTTCTAAACTGTGAACAAGAGAGTTGTGAAGCAGACTTAATGGAATGTAACGACGTAGCATTAGCTTATGTCAACCACTGTTTAAGCGAAATATATAAGTTTTATTGTTTTAATTAATTTTTATATCAACTTTTACTATGTTGTATTTTATTTTAAGTCGTTTTAACTTAAATTGTAAGATTTGTGAGCAATGTAGTTCGTATACAAAATTAAAAAATGGCATAATATTTTTAATTAAAAACCCATTCAATTTTATCCATGTTACTTCAAATTCAATACCTTTCAGTAAGATTTTATCTTACTCTATACCTCGTTTTTAAACTAGGAGGAATAATTGAGTAGTTCAAATTTACATATAAATGTTTCTAATTGGTCCAACTGCAGGCAAGTTTACTCCACTAAGTTATGAAATTTTGACACTATTGACATTTAAAAATCATAGGTTATATCGGCGATTCTTTTTAATTTTAGAATTTTAGTCTGCATTTATATAAAAAGAGTTCTTTTTACAACTGTTTAGCGACGTATTAGTGTTATTAGGCTAAAAATATGAATTCAATGTTAAGTACCAGTGGCGATTGCACTTCTCCACGTAAAGAATGCAGAGGGGATTTGAGGATTGATGATCCTAAAATGCAAATAACAGCCATGATAGCAAAAATAAAACAGGCAACAGGTTAGTTTTGTAGAATAGTGATTGTTAAAATCAAGACTTACTACATAATGTTCTAATTTAGGTGTTTACGTGTAGGTGTAACAATTTATAAAACAATTAAGGAATACAGATAGACTGGAACTGTAAGATGTCCTAAGCAAATTGGGAATCGATCTTCTACACTTCTAACGTATGATGAAAAAGGTAAAAACGTCTAAACGACAGATAAAATAGTACACAGCTTCCATTTAAGAATGAAATGCCCACTTCTTTATGAAACATGGGTAAATGAAAGTCATACCAAAGATAAAGTGTGGGTAGACACTGACATAAAAACCATACACAGAGATTTATTGGGGAGTTGTACTGGTTTGAAAAACTCACCAGGGAAAGAAAAACGTCTCATAGTTTTACATATCGGATCATAGTTAGGTTTTGTTAATGAAGGACTTTTACTTTTTGAGTTAGTAATATCTTTTAAAAATTATCACAAAAAGCTGAGCATGAAGAACAGATATGCAAGATAATGCAAATAAAAAATATTCCTCTTGATTTGGCGAAAGTTATAAGGTCATAGGTCAGAACTTGTACATCTTACAAATGGTCAAATTGAGATGGTCAAAATGAGATAACTAAAACAATGGTCGAATTGTATTGCAGCAGCCTCGATATCATTGCGGGTTGAATCTCACTGGAAAAATTTGCGCAAAGGTGAAAAATGAAGTGTGATTCAAAAACACAACATGTAAATCGCAAGAAATAAAAACACTTCTGTTACAAGCTCTCCAGAATGTAACTACAACAAATTGTTAAAATTGTATTAATCAATCCTTTAGTAGAAGTAGCAATGTGTAAACTAGGCTGCATCATGTATAGTTTAATAGAACCATTAATAATTTCGATTAAAGTAACAGACATAGGAACAACCTATGTCTGTCACCTGGAAAGCTTTAAACAAGATTCGACAAAGTTCTTATATAAAATTAGAATAGCTCAAAAAATAAAAAATATAGAAACCAAGGACTTAGACCCCGAAAGTCTGTATGAGGTAATGAAAAAATATATTCACGAAGCGGCGAATGAAGCACTGGGAAAAGTTGAAAATCGGAAAAAAGAAAAACCTGAATGGTTGTCAACGGAACTAGAAGAGAAAATTCTCAAGAAAAAACAAGCATATCACATATGGCTTCAATCCAAAGATCCTCAAGACAGAGAAATATACGCCAAATGGAATAGAGAAGATAAAAAAAAGTGGATAAGGCAAAAAATGTAAACTGGGAGGCTAAGTGTGATGAACTGGACAGATTTATGGGTGGAACAAAAGTGGCACAAGCTTGGAAAACATTAAAGCAGTTTAGGAAAAATGAGAAAAATTAAGACAACATTCCTCTCATAAAGTTAAATGAATGGAAAGAATATTATACGAAACTGCTGAAAGAGGATAGAGTAGAGTACAGATGGGACAAGATAAAGATAACAGAGACGAAAGACAGGAAATCCCTATAATAACATTATCTGAATTGACGGAAACCTTAAAAGAGGTTAAAAACGGAAAAGCCGCAAGGCCTGGAGACATTCCCATAGAGCTGGTTAAATATGGGCCGACTGAACTTTTAGAATTAATAGTAGACCTTTTTAATAAATGTATGTGTGGAGACCAGGAAATTCCTAAAGATTGGAATAAATCTTATAAGCTCCATATATAAGAGAGGGAATAAAAGAGACTGTTCCAATTATAGAGGTATTAGTGTGATGAGCTCTGTGGGCCGGTTATACGGCAGAATATTAAAGAAGAGGGTTGAAAGACAGATACAAGATATTTAAGAACAAAGCGGCTTTCGTACCGGGAGATCCTGCCTTGATAATATATTTATCCTACGACAAATAATTGAAAAGCATGTCGAAAGAAGTAGAGAGACCCATTTGGTATTTATAGACCTTGAGAAAGCATATGATTGTCCCGTCAAAGAAAATGTTTGAGGTCCTCGAAAGGTCCGAGCGATATATAAATTGTACGAAAATGCAGTTAGTTGTGTAAAAATTGGAACCAGAACTTCAAATGAATTTAAAGTCACTAAAGGCCTAAAGCAAGGATGCTGTTTGCCACCGACACTCTTTGAAAATTACGTCCAAGAAGAATTGCGAAATTGGAGAAATAAATGTAGATTTATGGGCATCGAAGTGGGACAAGAAACTCTGTATACATTGTTGTTTGCAGATGATCAGGTGGTAGTTGCAACCGATGAGGAAGATATAAATTATATGAATCGAAAATTATTTGAGGAATATGCCAAATGGGGGCTCTGTAAACATAAGCAAAACAAAATATTTAAAAATTGGAGGAAATACCACAGATCTGAGGCTTGAAAACGCAGTCATAAAAGGTTGCAACCAGTATAAATATCTAGGAAGCATCATATCAGCAGATGGCAAAGTTAAGATAGATGTACAAAACCGAATAACCCAAGGGAAAAAATGCATCCAAATACTGAATTCATTACTGTGGTCTAATAAAATAAAGATGCATACCAAACTTCGTGTATACAGAGCAATTGTAGAACCGATTATCACATATGGTGCCGAATGTTGGACGATGACAAAGAATGAACGAGATAAAGTAGACGTTGTGGAAATGGATTATCTTAGGTCATGTCGAGTATCGAGAATGGAAAGAATCAGGAATGAGAAAATACGAAACCATACAGATTAGAGAGACTCTTTCAGATAGAATACAAGGAAGGCAATTACAATGGTATGGCCACGTGATGAGAATGGAGGAGGAGCGGTGGCAAAAGAAAGCCTTAATGTATGTTCCACCAGAAAGAAGGAAAAGGGGAAGACCACCAAATTCTGGAGAAGAGAAATTACAAAAACGATGCAATCTAGAGGCTTAGAAGAGGGAGATTGGAGAGATAGGAAAAGATGGAGGCTGAAATGCGGGATGCGGCAATCGCCGTAGGACCCCCGTTATATGATGATGATAATTTCGATTGGCAATGATGACAGTAACACAAATTCCCCAGAAGATGAATAAATTGTATCTAGCAAGTAATTTTAATGTGATTATAATTTATTTGAATGTGTCTTTTATGAAAATTAAAAATTAAATTAAACGTCAATGTCTTAATTTATAAATTCAATTCTGCATGGATTTGTACATAAAACAAAGGTATGAAATTTTCAAGTAAGACAATAAAGTAAAACAAAATGGAAGATGTAGTAAATATTGACTTTGTGAAAAGATTTAAAACATGTAAAAACTAAGTTTTTTGTCTGTGAAGCTGTCCAATACTGATTACTGGATTACCGTCGAAGGACGAGATGATTAACCAAAATAGAAAATGAATGGCGATTTTTTTAGTCACATTTTTGGGTGTGAATCTGTCTTTTGAGTTTACTCCTCCTAGTTTAAAAACAGAGTTTAGTACAGATAGCGTTAAATAGTAAAGATGAAAATATATATTCTTGACCGACTCTTTCATTCATGACTCAGACATTTCGACTTTTTACAAGTCAAAAATACTTTTTTGTCTCGCTACAAGTGCATTCGTATTAGTCACATGAAAATGTTGATATGATACTGAAAAAATCTAAACACTTACCTTTAGTAATAAACCCTCGTCCACAAATATCACAGATAAAAGGTTTAACTCCTAAATGCCTATTGGTATGGTCTAGCAGCGATTGCTTAGTCTTAAAATTTTGACCACATGTCGTACAAGGGTAAGGTTTAACGTTCGAATGGACCCTTTGGTGTACCATTAAATAACTTTTACATTGGAACCCTTTACCGCAAGTCGGACAGGAAAATTCGTATTGCCCTAAAATTATTATAACAAAATCAGTTATAAGAACAACTTTACCTAAAATGAAGTATTTTAATAACCAATAACTGATCGATTTACCATTTAAAAAATTAAGATATTTAGTAATTTTATCTATTTATCATCCACTTTCGATAAAAGTAATATATTATGAGTGTACCTCCTAGAAAGTATTGATACTACCAGAACATTTATATAGTGACAACAATATAGACGATAGTATAAAAGTATCCAAATAATCTTAATTCGGGTAGGCCTTAATTATCTTAAATTGTCCTTTACTGTCTACTAAGAAATCTAGGTCATTATCAACATCATCTAGGAAATTACCATCACTATCAAGCGGTAATAAATGTAAACGACTCATCTAAAAAAGTTACATACTGATAAGACCCACTGTAACATATTTGATACAAGCTGACTTTAGCTACCACTGTGTCATATGTGACACAAATGAAAATATCAGGAAATATAAAGAAAATCAATGGAACTCAACGCTTTAAAAGAATCAGTATAGACTGCAATCAAAATGTTGAAACAAGTATAATTCAGTGTACGTTTTTTTTTATTCTATTTTTGGCATTTCCGTTAAGAAAATTAACAAGAGCTGATATTTTCTTAATGTACCCTTCAAAGAATCCTGTGACCAATGTATTAGTAATCAATGTATGTACACTGGAGTGCAAAATTAACCGACACCCAAAACGCCCAAACTGGCGTTTAAAAAAGAAAAGTATTTTTGAAGTGTGTAAACATTTATTTCCTAGCTGAACGTTTTCGGCTTTCAAAGCCATCTTCAGAGCTACGCTACAACAGAACACTAATACAAATAACCAATTTGGTGTTTACAATGTTTCACTTACATATTCGAAAACTCATTCCTGAAAAACGTCGTGCGAAGAGAACCTGGCAAAGATCTAGAAACAACATAGATCTACATATATTCAATAGTCTATGTAGGCAACTTGGAGTAGCCATCAAAGCCACAATTATGGAAACCTTTGAACATTACATTACAAACCTTACAGCAAATGACCAGAGGTTATGGACAGCGACTAAAAAGCTTAAGAAACTATACACAACTATCCCTCCCATCCGTAAATCAAACGGCGAATGGGGCTGCTTCAACAAAGAAAAAGCAGGCGTCTTTGCTTAACATCTTACAAACGTATTTCAAACAGAGGCATCAGACCCTGATGAAGAAGTGGAAGAACTAATTGGCGCAGCATGTCAAATATCCCTTCAAATTAAAAGTTTTACTCCTACAGAAGTCAAGAAAGAAATAAACAAACTTAACTCACGAAAGGCCCCAGGTTATGATTTAATCTCGGCACAAGTACTAAAACAACTTCCTCATAAGACCATTACTCTACTAACAGTTATATTTAACCGCATGCTAAGCGGTTATATAATAAGCGGTTAAACATAAAAAATTTTGAAAATTGAAAGGAAAAGATCTCAATGAAGTAACACCTTATCGACTCATCAGCTTACTCCCAACCGTAAGCTCTCACAAGAGTTTAACAAAGTCTGGCACAAAGGTCTGCTTTACAAAGTAAAAATAGCACTATCCAGTAACTATTTCCTCATACTTAAAGCCTACATATCAAATGGATATTTCTCTGTAAAATTTAAAGACCAACAATCCAACCTCTGTCCTATCAACTCCGGTGTCCCGCAGGGTAGTGTTCTAGAGCCGCCGCTTTTCTCACTCTACACAGCCGATTATCAGAGACTAATACTACTATAATCGCTTCCTTTGCTGACGACGTAGCTGTACTAGCTGTAAATGAAGATTCCATACAAGCCTCATAAAACCTACATCATCTGAACATACTCAGCGTTTGGTATACAAAATGGAGAACATAGGTAAACAAAACAAAATCAACTAAAATAACATTTACCAACCACCACAACATATGCCTACCTGTAAGAATGGAAAATGTAATAATACCAACAGTAACAGAAGCTAGTTACCTTGGCCTCCATCTTGATCAACGTCTCACTTGAAAGAAACATATCCAGACCAAAAGAAGACAGCTCGACTTAAAATTATACTAGACCTATGGGGCTGTGCAAAGCCAACGTCGCTGAATATCATCCAAAGATTTCAGTTTAAAGTGCTAAGACCGATAGTGGATGCATCATAGTACGTACGTAATCAAACACTTCACTACCACTTAAAAGTTCCTTTTTTCAGAGAAGAAATCCATTAAGCCACAAAGTCACAAAATGAACGTACCATTCACCATGAAAATGAGCTAGTAAGGGAATTATTTAACAATGGTCCAGCCACAAGAAGACTAGGTAGAACCTGGTAGAAGATCTGCTTCTAACCAAAATAGAATACGGTAAGACATCATTGGATATCTCTCTTTAACGCCCAAAACCTGTAACACATTTACTTAATACTCTAACTAACTTACCCTAATACTAATGATGCAGATTGTAAATAAACATAATTATATAAAAAAAGATAGTACACATGTAAATTTTTGTTAGAGAATTTTTTGAAACATTCATTGTTTCAAAATACACCTATTGTTTTTTAAATAAATAACTATGTATCTACATTTAATTGAATACAGTAATTGCTTAAAAGTTCTGTTTTATTTTATAATAACAAGTACTTAATATTATATAAAATTAATATATTTTAACGGTTTATGAAGCACATATTTTGATCAAATCAAAAATATTATTAACATGACATGCATAACCACTGCAAAAGAAGTTCCAACTTATAGATCAATCGACTTTCGTTATTTACCTGTATGTTTAGCCTCATGTTGCGCTAGACCGATTCTTGATCTGAATGTTTTATCACATGATCTGCATTTAAATGGTTTTTCTCCAGTGTGTTTCCTCATGTGTTCAGCTAATTTGTAGTTAGTTTTGTACGTTTTTCCACATTCAGTACAGATCTATAAGAAAACGTTTTATATGAATATATGTAAATAAAATAATCAACAAACGCAGAACGGAGGCTAGTGGTACATAATGCCTTCTATCGGTAATTTACAAGAACCATATTTCAAAACATAATTTACATGTGTTACTTTTGGCATTACCAATAAAAAAGAAGTACTAGAGTACTACTAGTAGTGACAACAGAATGGTTAGCGCAACTTTAAGGGTAGAATTAAAAAAAAAACAAGATCGAAGACGGTCCGATGAAACAAAAATATTAAGTGGAACCCCTCTAATAACGAATGCACCTAAGTAGACTCCGCTACAGTTGCTTTAGAAAAAATGACTTTATAGTTACTTTAAAATTAAAGCCATCAAAAATGCGGAAAAACAACACTGCAAACAAAATAACTAAAACCAAAAGGAACTCTCCCAAAATACGAAAATGATGATATATTTATGAAGAGGAATGTTAAAACAGAACGACACAAACAATGAAGATCTAAAACAGCCAAACAAAAGAATACCTAAAGAAATCAGAAAAGACGTAAGAAAATTCAATACATAAAGTATAAGACAAGCTATAGAAAAGAATAACCATATGAATGTGTTGCAGAGAAAGCTGTCAAATTCAATGGGAGAGCCTTTTAAACTAAAAGACAACCAGGCTTTCTAAAAACAAATAAAAAAAATTCCGGGCTTATCCGGTTATAATCCAAGAAATCAGAAACGTCAGCAGAGCAATGAAGAATAAAAAAGCCAGGGGCGATGATGGCGTCTTGATAGAGACTGTAAAACTCGGAGAAGAATCACCATTAAAACATATTAAAGATTTACTTAATTTATGTCTTGAAAATGTAATAGTCCCATCTCAAAAAAAGCCGTTATAATAATACTTCTCCAGAAAAGGTGATATCACCGAGCTTGAGAACTACAAACCGATAAGCCTTCTTTGTCATTTGTATAAGTTATTCACGAAAATCATTGCAAACGCTTGAAAGGTAAACTTTACTTCTATCAATCAAACGGATTCAGGAAAAGTTAAGTTATTTCCATAAAGCATTTGACACGACATGACTAATAAATATGATATTATAAAAGCACATGTGTTGTGATCTGGTGACCCAAAAGGCTGAGGTTCCCGACGAAAACCAAGTCCTAAAGATGATGCCAAAAAAGAAGTCGAAAGTTTGACAAAGTCAATGTGATGAATATATTGTGATATACCACAACACTAAAATCATGGCTATACAAACCTTAGCTACCAATTTAGATTTTGGTAATTTCTTTGCTTCATTACTAACAACGATGCCATTGCTTCTATTACTAGATGTGTTGTGACTTCCAGATTCTTCTGGCTCATTTTTTATCGGATTTAATTCATAATTTTCACTCTCCTCACTACTCCATTCACATTCAGCTTTCAATATTTCAGATGATTTATCACACTAAAACATTGTACGCATATAAATATTCTAGGATTACTTTCAAATCTTCTGTAGATTTGAATTTTTTTATTTTGGAAACTCTTGGTTTGATACAATACAGGGTTAGTCCCTCAAAAGAGTCCACCCTGATATTTGGCAATATTCATTGGATTTTATGAAAATGCTAAAATAGATCGTCTTTTAATGGAGTACATAAGCTATGACGTCACAATGGGCGAAGATCTTAAAAACCTTTCCAAAAATTTCTAATTTGTGTATATTTGCCCCATAAGAAATTGGAAATATTGGTTTTTTTAATCGTTTGAAGAATAAATAAGGACTTTTGGTTATCATCATTTATTCTGTGCGATTTGTACGAGGATGGATTGATATAAAACTAGCCTTTGATAGAAAAAACAAGTTTTTTGAAATTAAATCGATTTATTTTTCAACATAGTCCCCTTTTAGCTCGATAAACTTAGTAAGACGATGTTCCAATTTTTTTATCCCATCCGGATAGTACTTTTGCTCGAGCTCTTCAAAATAGGCCGAGGTTTCAGCTACGACTTCATTATTTGTTGCGAAACGGCGTCCTCTGAGGCATTTTTTAGGTTTGGCAACAAGAAAAAATCACTGGCTGTAAGATCTGAAAAATACGGTGGGTGTTCAACCAATTCACAGCCCAATTCATGTGATTTGGCCTTGGCGACGGCCAATAGGTGAGCCGGTGCATTGTCTTGGCGAAAGAGCACTTTTTGCGTTCCAAACCGGGGCGTTTTCGACGCAATTCGGCATCGAATCGATCCAATAATGCTACGTAGTACTCACCATTGATTGTTTTTACTTTTTCCAAGTAGTCGATGTGGATTATGCCTTTGCATCCCAGAAAACAGTCGCCATCACTTTGCCGGCCGAATGTGCACTCTTTGTCTTCTTTGGCGGCCCTTCGCCGCGTTTTCTCCACTGCTTCGACTGTTCTTTGGTTTCCGGTGTGTAATAATGAACCCAGGTTTTATCAACGGTGATAAATCGGTGAAAAAAATCCATCGAATCGCGCAGTATTATCGCCAAAAGCGTCGCCGAAGTAGTCATACCGTTTTGCATTTGATCGATTGTCAGCAAACGCGGCACTCGCGGAGTTTAATTCGACAATCTGCCATAATCATGTCATAGACTTTGTTGATCATTTCCGGCGTGGTGACTTCATTTGGCCTCCCGAGACGCTCATCATCAAAAACACTCGTACAACCACGAACAAATTCAGCTTTCCAAAATTTTACTGTTGCTAACGAAGTTGCAACCTCACCATAAACTTCGTTCACGTCGGCTTTGATTTGCACATTCCTTTTACCATTTTTTGTGGAGGAACTTAATCACCGAACGATACTCGACGTTTTCCATTTCTCCAAAACACAAAATTTGCTTGCTTTTGACGGCTGTAAACACCAAACTAATTGTTTTTAAAACTTAAAATTTTGACAGACGTCATGTCATGAATGGCAAATGTCAATACCGAAACCAATTCGGTATCAAGTAGTGCCATCTATCAAAGGCTAGTTTAATATCGATCTATCCTCATAATTACTTGTTGTTCGTGAATTTGTGAGGTGGGAATATCAAAGGATTAAGATATTTACTATGAATGTTCATATTTTAAGGTTATGTTGTGATTTGATTCAAACTATAATTATTTTTAACTGTATTTCAAGGTATTTTGTTGGTGTTATTGTCGGGGTTATTTCAAAATTAATCAATAAATTATTGAATTATTGAATTTATTTAGGAAGTTAAAACATATTTAAATTAACGTTTTAATCATTTTTTAAGTGGTAGTGATTTTTTTCGCTTAAAGAGTTTAAATAGTTAATAGTAGTTTTGTTGTTATTTCTTAAGAAATCAGAATATTGGATATCGTTAACATATGTTTACTAGTCATTATATGCCCAGATCTAAAAAATAAACTCAATACAACATCCAATAAAACATTTTTTTAACACTCATTATGGTAATTTGATAGAAATGTTTCCACATAATGTTATATTATAACTTAAACTACGAGAAAACGAATATCTTTAGTATTTAACAGGATAAAATCACTGGCAACGAAAAAAGAATAAAACATTAATTTCAATGTTTCTCAATTTCGTAAATAAATTTAATGATTGGTTTATTTTGAAATAACCCTGATAAAAACAACAACAAAATACCTTGAAATACAGTAAAAAATAACTAGAGTTTTAAGCAAACAATAACATAACCTTAAAATATGAACGTTCATAGTAAATATCTTAATACTTTGATATTCTTACCTCACAAATTAACGAACAACAAATAATTGTACAGAATAAATGTTCATAACCATAAGTCCTTGTTGTTCTTTAAACAATTAAAAAAAGCAATATCTCCAACTTTTTGTGGGACAAATACACACAAATAAGAAATGTTTAGAAAGGATTTTAAAATCTCCGCCCATTGTGACGTCAGACTTGGGTAGTCCATTCTAACGGTATAAATATCTATCATTTGTCAACCCCTCCCTTTCAGTACCACAAACCTTTAATTTTATTTATTAATTAATATACGGGATTACTCCCATTACAAAAAAATATATGTTATACAGTGTAAAAATAAATCTCTGTAATTGCTTACAAACTAAGTGAAATTAAAATCTTAATTATAAATAAAACAAAATAGTACTTATACATAAAAAAGATGAATTAAAATAAACGAAAAAGTACTTGTCAAGAACTTTTTATCCAATTTTTAAATGAAGCCAAGGAGACCAAACATTTCTAAATTGTTCCTATTTATAATTTTAAGTGTTCGCTAAATGGGTGAGTGCATAGATACCGTAATTTGTACGGCGAAAAGGTATACAAAACAGATCAACCTAACTGAGACTTCTGGAGAGAACATATAAGCTAATATATTGGAGAAGTTCAGGATAACAAATTAAACCATTTAATAATTTAAAAACAAATATTAAATCAGAGTTATCTCGTCGGGTTTTTAATAAATTCATGTTGAGTGTTTTTAAAATATCTGTATAATCATGATTAACAATCCGTTTGTTTAATTTATATGCACAATATCTTAAAAATTTGTTCTGCAATCTCTCCAATGTAGTAGAATAAACTTGGTATTGTGTAGACCATACAATACATGCATATTCCACTTTAGATACGACCAAAGCATAATAAACCGTTCTTAAAGTCCAAACAGATAGTCTCAGACAGTTCCGAATGATGAAACATTTTAATGAATTAACTGTTACATCACTTATATATTGTACAAAACGCAACTGTTCATCAAACGTGCCTACTAAGTCTTTTATTGTTTTTACATAAGACAATTCATTATCATTCATTGTATAAGAAGTATCATATTTTTTAAAACCTCTATAAAAACTTATATAGCAGCATTTAGCAACATTTAAATGCAAAATATTATGCTCACACCAAATACTCAACCGGTCTAAATCTTCTTGAATTAAAGTTATGTCATCATTTGAATCTACGAATTTAAATAATTTACATGAATTATATTTGAATTAATTTAAAACGGAATTAAACTATTAACTAATTAAAAACGGAACGGAAAAGTTATTCCGCATGCTACACAGAATGTTCGAAAGAGGACTAAATGGAGAGGAAATACCTGCGGAATGGACACAAGCATATATCACATCCATACATAAGAAAGGAAACAGGAAAATATGTGAAAACTACAGAGGAATTAGTATAATATCGTCGGTAGGTAGACTTTACGGGGAAAATTATCAAGGAAAAACTAGAAACTGAAATAATATGAAAAATTGGAGAAGACCAAGCAAGGTTCACAGTAGGAAAATCATGCCTAGATCATACGTACACATTAGGACAACTGATAGAGAAGAAAATGGCAAAAGGTAGACCGGTCCATCTGGCGTTTGTTGATCTAAAGAAAGCATACGACTCAATACCTAGAGTCAAATTATGGGAAGCAATGAATGATCTCGGAATCTGACAAACACTAATAAAAGTAGTTAAAGCACTGTACAAAGAAAACAAAGTAGCTATTAAATGTGGAAATAAAGCCTACAATCCATTTAAGACGACAAAAGGACTTTTCTACAAGGCTGTGCTACGTCCCCTACTCTGTTTAAAATATTCTTGGAAAAGACACTCAAACCATGAAGGAGAAAGTGCGAACGAATGGGCATACCAGTAAGAGACGAATACCTATACACCTTAAGTTTTGCCGACGATCAAGTAGTCATCGCACAAGATGAAGAAGATCTCAGCTTTATGCTCAGAAAACTAGAGGAATATAAAAACAACGGAATGGAAATAAACTTAAGGAGAAAACCGAATACCTAACAACAGAAAACAAGGATATGAAAAACCTAGAGATAGACGAGGGAAGACAAGTAAATGGAACAGATAAATTCAAGTATTTAGGAACCATAATATCGAACCAGGGAACAACAGAAGAAGATATAAACAACAGACTAAGACAAACAAGAAACTGTATAAGACAACTAAATTCAGTGCTGTGGAATAAGAACATTACGATAAAGACAAAAAAGAGAATATATAATACATATGGATCCGAAAACTGGACAATAAACAAGAGAGGTAGAATAAGAGCAGTAGAAATGGAGTTCCTGAGGAGAAGCTGTAGACTTACAAAAAGAGACAGAATTGAAAACGCAGAGATTAAGCGGAGAATGGGAGTGCAATCAGACATAATCGACTATATAGAGGAGAAGAGACTATCCTGGTACGGCCACGTCAGAAGAGTGGAAAGAGGACGCTGGATAAACAAAATCACAGAATGGAACCCGATCGGAAGAAGAAAGAGAGGAAGACCCCGAAGGTCATTCAGAGACAAAATCGACGAGGCTATGGAGAAAAGAACGGTTGAGTGAAGGAAGACAATGAAAACTGTGGAAATCAGTAGTAATAGTATATTTGAATTAAAACCTATTCTCACTTGTTGTGTGCGGTCTCTTGAAAAGCTGCTAAACCATTGTAAGGATT